TGTGTGTGTGTGTGTGTGTGTGTGTGTGTGTGTGTGTGTGTGTGTGTCATTTTCTTTTTTCTTGAGACAGAATCTCGCAGTGTTGCCCAGGCTGTAGTACACTGGCACGATCTCAGCTCACTGCAATTTCCACCTCCTGGGTTCAAGCAAGTCTCCTGCCTCAGCCTCCGGAGTAGCTGGGACTACAGGCATGCACCATCACACCCAGCTAATTTTTAAAATATTTTTAGTAGAGACAGGTTTTCACCATGTTTGCCAGGATGGTCTCAATTCCTGACCTCATGATCCCCCTGCCTCAGCCTCCCAAAGTGCCGGGATGACAGGCATGAGCTACCACACTTGGCCAGATATAACATTTTCTTAATGCATTCAGCCATCGACAAACACCTTGTTTCCATATAGCAACTATTGTAAATGCTGCAATGAATATGAGGTCACAGATTCCTCTTCAAGATAGTGATTTCACTTCCTTTGGTTATATATCCAGTAGTGGGATTGCTGGATCATATGGTAGTTCTACTTTTAATATTTTGAGGCACCTCCACTACTGCTTTCCATAATGGCTGTACCAATTTACATTCTTATCAACAATGTGTAAGGGTTCCCTTTGTCCACACCCAACACTTACCCTTTGAGTTTTTGATAACAGCTGTTATAACAAGTGTAAGATAGCAGCCAACTGTGGTTTTGATTTGTACTTACCTAATAATGTGATGTTGGGCACCTTTTCATACGCCTATTGGCCATTTTTATTTCTTCTTTGGAAAAATGTCTGTTTAGATCCTTTACCCATTTTTTAATCCATTTTTATCTATTGAAATGTATTAATTTCTTAGGTATTTTAGATACTAACTTCTTGTGCAGATACTTTCTCCCATTCCATAGGTTGCCTTTTCATTTTGTTCATTATTTCCTTTGCTGTGCAGAAGCTTTTTAGTTTAATGTAGTTTCACTTATTTTTTGCCTTTCTCGCCTGTGCTTTTGGTGTCAACTCTTTAAAAAAACATTGTCAAAACCAGTATCACAGAGCTTTTCCTGTTTTCTTGTAGGAGTTTTATGATCTCAGGTCTTACATTTAAGTCTTTAATCCATTTTGAATTGATTTCTGTTTGTAACATAAGGATCCAATTTCACTTTTTCACATCTAGATATCTAGTTTTCCTTACATCATTTACTGAAGAGACTGTACTTTCCCCACTGTTTATTCTTGGCATCTTTGTCCAAGATTAGTGGACCATAGATTCCTGGGTTTATTTCTGGGCTTCCTATTCTGCTATATTAGTGTCTATATCTGTTTTTATGCCAGTACCATACTAATTTGATTACAGTATCTTAGTAATAAATTTGAAATCAGGAACTGGGGTGCCTCCAGCATTGTTCTTGTCCAAGATTGCTTTAGCTATTTGGGGTTTTTGTGTTTCCATAGGAATTTTAGGATTGTTTCTTCTATTTCTATGAAAAATATCATTGGAATTTTCATAGGGATTGCATTAATTTGTAAATCACCTTTACATAGTATGACATTTGACAATATTGGTTTTTCCAATTCATGAACACTGGATGTCTTTCCATTTGTTAATGTGTCTTCTACTACTTTCACCAGTGTTTTAGAGTTTTCAGTGTTCAGATCATCTTCATTAAATTTATTGTCAGTATTTTACTTTTTTGATACTATAAGTGAATTTTCATATTTTCCAGATAGTTTCTTAGAAATGCATTTTTGTATATTGATTGTTTTATCCTTCATTACTGAATTTACATGTTAGTTTTAACAGTTTTTTCATGGAGTCTAAGAGTTTTCTAGGTATGTCATCTACAAACAGATAATTTTATCTTTTCCAATGTAAATGCCTTTTGTTTTCTTGCATAATTGTTTTGGCTAGAACTTCCAGTCGTATGTTGAATAAAAGTGATGAGGATGGGCATCTTTGTCTTGTTCTCAGTCTTAGAGGAAAAGCTTTCAATTTTTTATAATTGACTATAATACTAGCTGTGGCATTGTCACCTATGGCCTTTATTGGTATTGAAGTATAAACTCTTAATTTGTTGAGGGTTTTTTATCACACAAGAATGCTGAACTTTACCAAGTTCTTTTTCTGCATCTATTCTAATAATCATTTATCTTTCATTCTGTTAATATTGTATATCTCCATGATTTTGTTTATCTTGAACTATCCTTGAATTTCTGGGATAAATCCCACTTGATCATGATGTATGATCCTTTTAATGCATGTTGGATTTGGTTTGCTAGTATATGAAGAGTTTTGTATCTATTTTCAGTAGGGATATTGGCTTGTAGTTTTCTGTTCTTACAATGTTTTTGTCTGGTTTTGGTATCAGTGTAATGCTGAACTCATAAAATTTATGAGTTTAATGAGGAGCTTGGCTGGACCCTTCTTCCATTTCTTTGGAAGAGTTTGAGAAGGATTATTCTTCTTTAAATGTTTGGTAGAATTCAACAGTGAAGCCACCAAGTCCTGGGCTTTTCTTTGATGGAAGGCTTTTCCTTACTGATTGAGTCTCCTTACTTATTATTGATCTTGTTGGGTTTTCTGTTTATATGTTTCAGTCTTAGCAGGTTACATGTTTCTAGGAATTTTTCCATTTTTTCTAGGTTATCCAATTTTTTGGCATATAATTTTTCATTATAGTCTCTTATCCTTTGTATTTCTGTGGTTATCACTTGTAATGCCTTCTCTTTCATTTCTAATTTTACTTTAGTCTTGTGTATTTTAATGTTAGGTAGTCTGGCTAAAGGTTTTTGTTTATCTTTTCATACAACCAACTTTCATCCATCTTATCTATTGTCTTTCTAGTCTCATTTATTTCTGCTATGATCTTTATTATTATTTCCTTCCTTCTACAGACTTTGGGCTTAGTTTCTTCTTTTTTACTTCTACTGACTTTGGGCTTAGCTGCCACTTTTTCTAGTAACTTGAGGTATTAACGTTAAGCTGTATAAGATCTTTCTTACTCACCCCTTGCTCTCTTTTGCTTCCATTGACATGGAATGTTTTTCCCATCTTCTTACTTTCAGACTACATGCATTCTTAAAGCTATCGTGAGCTTCTTGTAGGCAGCATATACTACTTTTTTAATCCAGTCTGCACTATGTGTTTTGATTAGATAATTTAATCCATTTACTTTTTTGTTTGCTTTAAGGAGATAGGGTCTCTGTCACCCAGGCTTGGGAGTACAGTGGCATGATCATACTCCCAGGACTCCCAGGCTCAAGCAATCCTTCTACCCTAGCCCACCAAGTAGCTAGGACTGCAGGCAGATGCCACCACACCCAGATAATTGTTAAAAATTATTTTCTGTAGAGATGCAGTCTTGCTGTGTTGCCCAGCCTGCTCTCAAACTCCTGCTATCAAGTGATCCTTCAGCCTCAGTCTCCTGAGTGCATTTATATTTAAAGTAATTAACGATAGGTAAGTACTTACTGTTGTCATTTTGCTTATTCTTTTGTGGCTGTTTTACACATGTTTTGTTCTTTTCTTCCTCCCTTCCTGTCTTCCTTTGTGATTTAATGACTCTGTAGTGATATGCTTTGATTCCTTTCTCTTTTCTCCATAATACAGGTTATTGCTTTGTGGCTACTATGAAGCTTAAAGCATCTTGTAGTTTTAATAGTTTGTGTTAAGCTGTTAACAACTTAGCTTTATTTGCATATAATTTATACTCTTCCATTTCCCATATTTTATGTTTAATCTTTTGTACTAGAGTTATAAGTTATTTAGACACCACTGTTAAGTATTAGGGTATCTGGATTTGAACATATAAGTAACTTTACCCCAGTGGGTTTTATAATTGTATATGTTTTCATGTTACAAAGTGTCCTTTCTTTTAAGGTGAAGAGTTTACTATTTCCTGTAAATCAGCTCTATTACTGACGAAGCCCCTCATCTTTTGTTTGTCCAAGGAAGTTTTTATGTCTCCTTCATTACTGAAGGCCATTTTTACCAAGTATAACTTATTGGTTGGCAGTATAGTCATGCACTGCATGAAGACATTTTGGTCCATGATGGACCACCCATATATGACAGTGGTCTCATAACACTATAATGGTGCTAAAAAATCCCAATCACCCAGTGACATAGCCACTGTAACACTGTAAAGCACATTACTCACATGTCTGTGGTCTCCACAAACCTGCTACACTGCCAGTCATGTAACAGTCTAGCACATACAATTATGTACAGTACAGATGATATATAGTACATAATAATGAATAGTAATAAATGACATTACTGGTTTATATATTTTCATATTATTTATTGTTGTTTTAGAGTATATTCCTTCTGCTTGCTAAAAAAAAGTTAACTGTAAAACGGCCTCAAGCATGATGCTTCAGAAGGCATTCCAGAAGGCATTGTCACCACAGGAGATGTCAGCTCCATGCATGTTATTGCTCTGAATACCTTAAGTGGGACACATAGAAGGTCTAAGACAGTGATATTCATGATCCTAACTCTATGTAGACCTAGATTAAGTGTACGTTTGAGTCTTTGTTTACAATAAATAAGCTTAAAAAGTAAAACCAATGAGGGGCAAGCAAACAGGGCCTTGAAGGTAGGCTACTAAGTTAAGAAGACAGTCCTAGCTCTGCTGTAAGATTTACAGCACTAGATTTTGATGACTTCACATATACAGCTAAGTATACTAAATGTCCTGAAATTTAACCCTTTTATTATGAAATGCAAATATTCTCACCTTTATGGTCCTTATGAGTTACTCCTTATTATTTTAGTAATTTAGGGATATTAACCCAACCCTGTGAAGTCTGTCCCATTTGAACAATGAGAAGTGAGGGTGTGATACAAGATATTCCAGACTCATCTTGAAGATTTCTTCTATATCAGACCCAGCTCTTTCCCCAGTGAGTCCTGTGTTCTGTCATGAGTAAATGGTATTCAGAACAGTTCTGCACTTTAGAGGCTCATTCCACCTGAGGTGTTAGCCTTTTCAGTGGTTCAGCCTAGAAAAAAGTCCAAGAAAAAAATGGTAAGTGCATACTATATTTCTAATTTGAGGATATATTGTGTTCTTGGATAGGGAGACAAATTGTAACTGTATTATCTGTGTATGTTGTTACTCTCTAGTATGAAGACGCTTCTGAGCCTGCTAGTGTTGAATATCTAGCAGGCCTAGACTTTTATGGCTTCTGTCTTCTTCTCCAGTTGCCTGCTCAGGACTCTGCCCAGCCAGGAAGTAAACCTACAGGAGGAAGAATGGCCGCCGGGTGGCTGACAGCCTGGTCACAGGTACACAAGAAATTTCTCTAATTTCAAAAGCACACTGCCATTCCTGAAAAGAACACATCTCTTGCCCCTGACCTAAAGTTTGACAGCCCAATCAGAGCTGGCTTCATCTTTGCAGTTCCCAGGCTGTTTCATATAGAAGAGGAAATGCCTGGGAAATGCTTCTGTTCCCACGTTTGTTAACTTTTTCCAAATATTCTTCCATATTTTTGAGTATGAAGTCCATACTTTGCTGAGTCCTGTAAAGACTTTCACTAGGAAAATTGTTTATTCATTTCTCAAGTATTTCTTGCATTCTGACAGTATGCCCTATCTATACCAGATCTGAATAGGACCAAAAGAGTCCTCACAACCTAACTGCAAAGATCAAGCCAACCATATTTTAGAAAAGCTGTTATGACCATGACCCTAAATGAGATGGCCCAGGGAGTAAGATTTAAAGAAGAGAGCTCTGAGAACTCAGCTTTAAGGCAAATAACAGAAGGCCTCTGATGCATGTGAGCTTCCAATGCCCTGGGTCTCCTCTCCAGTCTTGTCAGCCTCACCCACCATTCTCCTGGTACATAGTCGAAAATGGACATCAGCTGAGCCAGACTATGTATGTGATGTTTTAGAACTCAGTGACCTTCCAGGAAGTGGCAGTGGACTTTTCCCAGGAGGAGTGGGCATTGCTGGACCTTGCTCAAAAAAATCTATACAAAGATGTGATGCTGGAGAACTTTAGGAACCTGACCTCAGTGGGTAAGGCTGGACTCATTCCTTCATTTGTTGATGTAGCAAATAGTTTTCAAGCACATATTGTGTTCCAGAATCTTGTGAAAAGAATGGCAATACAGTGGTTACCCACAAAATGAACAGTCCCTGCCCTCGGGGGGCAGTGTAGTGGCTTCCCATAGAAATGCACTGATTTCATTTTCTCTATCACTAATAGCTTTAGATAATTTGCATGTGTATCTTATCTTCTGTATAGGTTTCAAGGGTCACTTCCATATAGGGCATGGACTATGCTTTTAAATGGTCCTCATGAAAGAGCTCTGCTCTAGTTGTTTTGATGTTCCTAAAGCTGCACTTGAGTATTTTAACAATCCTCATACATTTCTCCCACATCCTCTCATTCTGCATGAGTAGGGTATCAGCTCTGCAGACACAATCTGATCTCCAAGGTGCATCAAGAAGAGCTGAAGACAGATGAAGGAGGAATTCTACAAAGTGACAGTGCAGGTGAGCCCTGGGCAGAACAGTCATCTCATGGTGCAGCCTTGGCCAGTGAGGGTTGGTACATTTGGGACTGTCACTCAGTGCAGGAAAAGAAATCGGAGGTCATTATTTCCATGAATGCTTTTTGTTTAGTTCTGTTTTCCAGATAATACTGTCTTATTTCCCAAAATCCACAATCCTAACTAAAATACGTCCCATTTCTACTGCTTGTTCATATCACTGGTTACATCTTCTCTCTCACATTTCTCTACTTAGAGATATTATTTGAAGACAAATCCATAGTCTCCTTCCCTTTTTCTTTCATCCCTGCCTTTTTTCCCAATAATTATAAAAATTTTCCTGTGCTATTTCAGAGTGGGAAACTCAACTGAAATCCAAAGATGTGATTGCTATGCAAAACATTCCTGGGGGAAAAACATCTAATGACATAAAAATGGTAAGACTTGGTAAGAATTATTCCTGGTCTTTGTAGTAGAAGCCTGGGAATTTCAGTGAGTTAAAACATCAGCACCCAAAGCAGGGTTAAGAGTTTAGGCACCAAGTTTTCACCAGAAAGCTGTCTCAGTGATTTTCATGAAATTGGAGAAATGTGTAAACCTAGTTTAATGCTTGCTGCCTCACAGAGAATAACTGCAAGTAAACATTTACTTAAATAGGATTTTTGTGTTAAGTATTTAGTATATAATTCATTCTTCACTCAGTATTAGAAAAACTGTGTATTGAAGGCCGGGCGCGGTGGCTCAAGCCTGTAATCCCAGCACTTTGGGAGGCCGAGGCAGGTGGATCACGAGGTCAAGAGATCGAGGCCATCCTGGTCAACATGGTGAAACTCCGTCTCTACTAAAAATACAAAAAACATTAGCTGGGCATGGTGGCGCGTGCCTGTAATCCCAGCTACTCAGGAGGTTGAGGCAGGAGAATTGCCTGAACCCAGGAGGCGGAGGTTGCAGTGAGCTGAGATCGCGCCATTGCACTCCAGCCTGGGTAAAAAGAGAGAAACCCCGTCTCTAAAAAAAAAAAAAAAAAAAAAAAACTGTGTATTAAAGAAGCCATTTGTTGGGAAGGAATACAATAGAGCCTTGGGTAGAGCAGTGAGCTTATTCAACTTGAAAAAACTAATAGGGCAGAAGTTGTATGCATGTACTGAAAACAGTAAACATGTCAGTCATGACCATGTGCTTCCCATATATGGCTGAATCCACATGGAAGAGAATTCCTGTGAATACAATGAAAGTGAAAAAGCTTTTAGTCACTGCTTACTCCCTTTTCAACAGGCACAAACTCAACCTGGTAAGAACCCCCTGGCGTGTAACCATTGTGAGAAATTCAGAAAGAACACTCACTTTATTTGTACAAGATATTGCAAGGGAGAGAAATTCTATAAATATACCAAGTATGGCAAAGTCTTCAGCCATCCCTCAACTCTTAGGAGTCATGTGAACATTCACACTGGAGAGAATACTCTTGAATTTACTGATTGTGGAAAAGCTTTCAATCAAGAGTCATCCCTCAGGAAACACTTAACTCCCACAGGAGAGAATTCTCAGGAGTATGATCAATGTGATATGTCCTTCAGCCTACACTCTTCCTTCTCGGTACGTGAGCAAATACCTAATAGAGAGAAAGGCAGTGAATGCAGTGACTGTGGCAAAAGCTCTCCCCTTAGTGTCCACACAAAGACTGGTAGTGTACAGGAGGGTTTGGAACATAATGAACATGAGAAAACTTTAACTGACCCTTTGTCCCTTCAGAACTATGTCAGCACTCACACTGGAGAGAACCCCTATGAATGCAGTGACTGTGGGAAGGCCTTCATTTTTCAGTCTTCCCTTAAGAAACACATGAGATCTCATACTGGAGAGAAGCCATATGAGTGTGATCACTGTGGAAAATCCTTTAGCCAGAGCTCTCATTTGAATGTGCACAAAAGAACTCACACTGGAGAGAAACCCTATGACTGTAAGGAATGTGGGAGGGCTTTCACGGTTCCTTCATCCCTTCAGAAACATGTGAGAACCCACACTGGAGAGAAACCCTATGAATGCAGTGACTGTGGAAAAGCTTTCATCGATCAGTCATCCCTTAAGAAACACACACGCTCTCACACTGGAGAGAAGCCTTATGAGTGCAACCAGTGTGGAAAATCCTTCAGCACAGGCTCTTACCTTATTGTGCACAAGAGAACTCACACTGGAGAGAAAACCTATGAGTGTAAGGAATGTGGGAAGGCCTTTAGGAATTCCTCTTGCCTGAGGGTACACATGAGAACTCACACTGGAGAGAAGCCTTATAAATGTATTCAGTGTGAAAAAGCCTTTAGCACAAGCACTAACCTTATAATGCACAAGCGAATCCACACTGGCCAGAAATTATATGAATGAAGTGACTACAGAAAAGTGTATGTTGTCCTTCATGCCTTAATGGTCATTGTGCTTCTGGCCCAACCCTTATAAATGTTACAGCTTGCTCTTTTTTTTTTTTGACGGAGTCTTGCTCTTGCTGCCTGGGCTAGAGTACAATGGCACGAACTTAGCTCACTGCAACTTCCACCTCCACCTCCCAGGTTCAAGTGATTCTCCTGCCTCAGCCTCCTGAGTAGCTGGGATTACAGGTGTCTGCCACCACACCTGGCTAATTTTTTTTAAAAAATCTTTAGTACAGACAGGGTTTCACCATGTTGGCCAGGCTGGGTCTTAAACTCCTGACCTCATGATCTGCCTGCCTCAGCCTCCCAAAGTACTGGGATTGATTACAGGTGTGAGCCACCACACCCAGCCTCTGATTGGTTTTAATCAGTGAGTGTTTCATCCTTATACATGTCACAACTTACTAATTTATAAGTATGTTAATATGTAGATCCTATGAATATCTTATCTTTGCAGTTTAACTGCATTGTGGTCTAAAATGTATAGATTCTATGTGACATTGATTTGAACATAGTTGCTGGAGACTGACATACTGTGGCAGACAGAACTAGTTGCTGTCTCAATATCCATTCCTCCCTTCTTGTTCCATTCCTCATTCCTCACTTCTTGTTTTTGCTTTTTTTTTTTTTTTTTTTTTTTTGAGACGGAGTTTCACTCTTGTTACCCAGGCTGGAGTGCAATGGCGCGATCTCGGCTCACCGCAACCTCCGCCTCCTGGGTTCAGGCAATTCTCCTGCCTCAGCCTCCTGAGTAGCTGGGATTACAGGCATGCGCCACCATGCCCAGCTAATGTTTTGTATTTTTAGTAGAGACGGGGTTTCACCATGTTGACCAGGATGGTCTCGATCTCTTCACCTTGAGATCCACCCGCCTCGGCCTCCCAAAGTGCTGGGATTACAGGCTTGAGCCACCGCGCCCGGCCTGTTTTTGCTTTTTTGAGATAGAATTTCGCTCATCACCCAGGCTGGAGTGCAGTGGTACAATCTCCGCTCACTGCAACCTCTGCCTCTCAAGTAGCTGGGATTACAGGCATATGCCACCATGCCTGGCTAATTTTTGCATTTTTGGTAGAGACGGTTTCACCATGTTGGCTGATCTCAAACCCCTCCTGACCTCAGGTGATTCACCTGCCTTGGCCTCCCAAAGTGCTGGGATTACAGGCGTGAGGCACCACACCCAGCCCCTTCTTTCTTAACAAAAAGTTTATTTGGTTCGAGCTGGCAATATGGACATTTTTAAAAGGACTCACCACCCAGCTTTCCTTACAGCTGTGAGTGGCCAAATGTGTCCCCATCTCTAGCCCATGCAAAGTAGGCAGAGGCACTGGATACAGCTTCTAAGGAAGCTCATGAAAATGGGAATACCTCATCTGGTGTTTTTTTCTTAACTATATTTGCCCTTTGTCTTATCCCTTCTTATTTCCTAGAAAATATATATACCAAGAAGAGGACAGAGAAAGGATACTAAATGAAACAACAGGGGAGATAACAATATTGTCTGGTTGCGCTAATCCGCTAATCCCGTACTGTACCACATGGTTTAAACCGCTCTTCTGGGAAATTCCTCTTTCATCTGATTTCAGTCCCAATTGTTACATCTAATATATGGTCAAGTTTTAGGAATCTTTCAAGTATGGTTGAAAACACTGTGTTTTCTGAGGCAGGAGAATCACTTGAGCCTAGGAGCTTGGAATCAGCCTAGGCAACACAGTGAGACCCTGTCTCTACAAAAACAAATAATAATTAGTTTGATATGGCTACTTTTACAGGCTGCACATCTGTAGTCTCAGCTACTCTGGAGGCAGAGGCAGGAGGATCATTTGGGGCCAGAAGGTTGAGGATGCAGTGAGCCATTAAGATAGTGAGGTCCCGCTCTAAAAAAGTTGTATATTTACACACACACACGGAGAGTGGTATGTTAAAACGTCATACTATAACTGTGGCTTGTCAAACTTGTTTCTGAGATGTTGTCTCACTGTCTTGCCCAGGTTGGAGTGCAGTGGTGTGATCTCAGCTCACTGCAACTTCCACCTTCTGGGTTCAGGTGATTCTTGTGTCTCTGCCTTTCAAGTAGCTGGGATTACAGGCACATGCCACCATATCTGACTACTTTTTCATATTTTCAGTAGAGGTGGGGTTTCCCCATGTTGGCCAGGCTGGTTTCAAACTCCTCACCTCAAGGGATCCGCCTGCCATGACCTACCGAAGTGCTGAGATTACAAGTGTGAGCCACCACACCCAGCCAAATTATTTTTTTAAAAAAATCTGTCTAGGCCAGATGCAGTGGCTCATGTCTGGAATCATAGCACTTTGGGAGCCCAAGGCGGGCAGGTCACTTGAGTTTACCAGTTCAAGACCAAGCCCAGCCAATGAGCCAAAACTTCATCTCTACAAAAAATAGCCAGGTATGGTAGTGTACACTTGTAGTCCCAGCTACTCAGTAGGCTGAGGAAAGAGGATCACCTCAGCCCAGGAAGCAGAGGTAGCAGTGAGCTGAAATCATTTACCATTGCACTCCCACCTGGGCCATAGAGTGAGACCATGTCTCACACACAAAAAATTTTTTTGGAGGGGCACTACATTTGGGTACATGTAAGTATACTCATTTTATATGTTTCTGGCAAACTGTCGTATTATTCTTACCAGTGCCCATACTTTTCCCCTAATAACTTAATGTTCATTAATTTACTTGATATAAATATGAGCTACTGACCTAGAAATGCCATTTTCTCAATGTATAAGGACAACCAGGAACAACTTACTGTTTCTCAGCATTACATCAGTTAGTTACACTGTTGCTTGCAATAACATCTGCTAGGTACCGTCATCTTTACATCTCACAACTTATCCTTTCAATGCCTTTATGCTGGTTGGACGTGATGAGAAGGAGATACCAAATACTTTGGAGTTCTTTTGTAAGACATAGGTGAACAATATGTTTGTTGGGGAATAGACCCAGTCAGGCTAACCACCTGAAGTTTCCAGGGGTTCAGTTGTCTGGAGCTTGCCAAGATATTCCCTCTGCCTACCACAAAGAGCACTATGCCTGGTTGGCCTTTTTGGGTTCTGGAGGCGCTATAATGACACATTTGAGTGTGCTACATTGACCCATCTGCAAATGGCTCCATTAGTGAATAGTGTCTACCTTACAGAAAAGAAGCAATATAACACCACCTTGAGAATTTAGGAAAAAAAACACATTCTGGCAATACACGAGAGCAGCCTCTAACCAGGATAACAAATTTAGGCAAAGACAGAATGAAGCTTGAAAACCTTCAAAAGTAATTTACAAAATACTAGCAAATGGAAACTAGGTATTTCTTTAAAAAGAAACCATCATGTTAAATTTATCCAGGAATCCAAAATTGGTTCTACATTTAAAAAATCAAAAAATAGGCCGGGCGTGGTGGCTCAAGCCTGTAATCCCAGCACTTTGGGAGGCCGAGGCGGGTGGATCATGAGGTCAAGAGATCGAGACCATCCTGGTCAACATGGTGAAACCCCGTCTCTACTAAAAATACAAAAACATTAGCTGGGCATGGTGGTGCGTGCCTGTAATCCCAGCTACTCAGGAGGCTGAGGCAGGAGAATTGCCTGAACCCAGGAGGCGGAGGTTGCGGTGAGCCGAGGTCGCGCCATTGCATTCCAGCCTGGGTAACAAGAGCGAAACTCCGTCCCAAAAAAAAAAAAAATCAAAAAATACAATCGACTTTTAAAAGCCGTATTATTCATTCACTCATACTAATAATTGCTAGACACCTAAAATGAATGAGGCAGTGTTCATTTAATGCATTATTGAAAAAACAGGATTATCTCAGTAGATATAGAAAAAGCCATAGAGAGATTAACTGAGAAAAATCTTTTAAAATATAAACATTGTATAAAAAATGCAAAAGTAAACAATAAATGGTGGAAAACAACATGAATTTAAAATCAGGAAGATGACAAGGGTGTCCACTATTAAAAACACTACTTAGTATTTTACTGGACTCATAGAAAAGTGAGGCAGGCTAGGAAAAGATATAAAAAACCTAAGGACCAGAAAGGTAGAAGTAAATCTCTTATTATTTATAATGATATGATTACCTAAATGGAAAATTTCAAAGGATTTATATATAAATTATTAAAATAAAAAATGTTTAATAAAATTGCAGGATACAACTTTAGTATCTTAATAAAGATCAATTTGCAACTTATACTCAGGAATAGAAATAATTTTTTTTAAGCCAGTAAGTTTGAGGTAAGACCCTCCACCTGCAAAAAGATTATGACTCGATGAACATCAAATAATTTTTTTTTTTTTTAGACAGTCTCTGTTGCCCAGGCTGGAGTGCAGTGGCACAATCTCAGCTCACTGCAACCTCTGCTTCCTGGGTTCAAGTGATTCTCCTGCCTCAGCCTCCTGACTAGTTGGGATTATAGGCATGTACCACCATACCCAGCTGATTTTGTATTTTTTAGTAGAGACAGGGTTTCACCATGTTGGGCAGGCTGGTCTCAAACTCCTGACCTCGTAATCCACCCACCTCAGCCTCCCAAACTGCTGGGATTATAGGCATGAACCAACGTGCCTGGCTGAAATAATATTTAAAAGTCAATACCATTTATACGAGCCACAATAGTATAACATACAGAATACATTAAAAACTTAGCAAAACTGTTTTGAAGACAGTATTGTAAACATTAAAGATGACCTAAACAAACGAGAGACATTAATTGAAAGATCAAATTCTGAAAAGACTCAAACTCACAAACTGATTTAGATTCAGAAAGTTGCAAAGTTATACAGCTCCACTTCCAGATTGGCTGTAGACATTTACAGCAGACTGCTAAACCCACATGAATAAACAGTGAACTAACATCTTCAAAGACCCTGGAGACCTATGAACCCAAAAAAAAAAAAAAGTGAAAATTAAATGCCAGAGAACGATGAGCTCCTCCTAGAAGGGCAGAAATCAGTGGCTGGTTTCTTCC